AAAGGAGTGTCTTAAACTGGGCTTGAAATACATGTGGCTCTAAAAGACAAAACACTGAAATGTTTGCATGGAAAATTGTAATGATTGATACTATTTTCAGAATCAATACCTAATATGTGTGCCTCATGCAGTTACTATGTGTTCTTTAGGATGAACTAATTTTACTGCCCTTTATGTCACAGAATCAGAAAGTGCTGCATCAAGTATGGCTGATTTTGTGTCATCCATTGCTTCCTTGTCCATCACCACTCCCCCTACGATATCAACGGCAGTACCACCTCCACAATCCAACTCCTTACCCCCAGCATCATCAACTAGTCTTAGTTCTGTCCTGGGGATGAAGCCTGCAACAACTGCAACACAGGTCCCCATACAATCAGTATCTACAAGCCTGACTTCGTCTCTTCCACCAAGTTCAGTACCAGTTTCAGCTCAAGCGTCAGATCCAGGCGGGTTTAACTTGTCAATGACTACACCCCTTTCATCAAATTCTGGCCCAGTCATACCAAGTTCCACAATGTCAAAGGGAGGTGAACCCTTAGTATCATCTGCTAATCCACCAGCATCAATTTTAAGTGGTTCTCACCTGATGTCAAACTCTGGACCAACTCAGGTACTAAAAGTTTGCGTACAGTTTACATTCTCTTTGATTTTTTGTTTTTGTTTTAACTTTACCATGGCTGCTGATAAACCACAACACCTTGGACAAAAGCCAAAATGTAGGGGCTAATAAGCTTTTCACACAAGCATCAAATAATTCAAATAAAACAGATCAATTAGAAAGAGAGAGATATAATTGTGAAGCTGCATCACTGTCTGAAAGGACATTAATCCAAAGCAAGCACAAATGCCATCAGTAACTGACAGTAAAAGTTACTTTTACATTTCTGCTGAAATTTGCCAAGAATCTTTTTCTTTTTTTTTTGTAACTAAATAACAGTATGAATATCATGTTAAACCTGTTAAGGCATTTGTTGGATTGAAAGGGAAGTGTTCTTTAACATGATCCCTATTTTCCTCTTCAACTTGTAGCAGCCCTCAACATCTAATTCATTCTCATCACTGAAGTCCATGGCTGCTCAAGCAGTGGCTACAGCTGGATTGAACAATTCCATCTCAACACCAACAACGGACTACAGCACAGAAAGTAGAGGTAAGTGTGGGAGGATTGGGTTTGTTGTTGGCTCTTGTTTCTCTTCCAGTAGCAATCTATCCCACAGACCTCTTGTTTTTTCTTGAATGACTGTTTTCATTGCACGTTAAATAAGAATCATGGCATAATTACCAAATGCTAATTGTGTTCACTGTAAAGGGTTGCAGTTAGTCACCATGGTGAATACACTTGTAGAAGAAGTAAAATTGTTTTTCTGACAATCTGTGGTCACCTATTATGTGGACTGCAAATTTTTGACTGCATGCTGGAGTCTTGTGTTATTCCTGAAGAAGATTGGAATTTGTGACTGAAAAGTTGCCATCCACTTCAAAAGTGACTACAACAGTAAACAAATGAGTGTGCTTCTTATACTGACTGTATTCATGTTTTTAATATTATTTTTTTCCCTACTGTCTGTCAGGTCTGTTTGACACAAGTAATAGTCAAACAACAGATAAAACCAAAGCCTTGCAAGAGACAAACACAGCTCATCTCCAACCATTACTGGGTGTGGCTCCATTAGGTCCCGTGCCCCTAAACAAGGAGAGGTGTTATCAGCTGGCCATGGTGGAAGCTGCATATCATCATCAACCACAACCGGCTGACTCAGAGAAAGTCAGGTACAGTATATCTTTTACTGAACTTGTGTACCAGAGCAAGAGCTTAACTTGAGTTTGCTGAAACTAGCTTAAAAGCATAATCACTCTTTTTATACAAATTACATTTTTCCTCTCCTTCCAATTTTTATGCCAGCTCTGCAGGGTGGCATTCCAATTCAGTATTTTCCATGTTGAGTTTTATTTGTGCTGTTGATCAATTTGATTCTTGGTTTCAATTTTACTTAACTTAAAAGGTGGAAAATTTATTTTGTAAGCGGGTAACATTCTACCACAACTGTACAGTGTTTTCATTTAAAAAATCAGTGAAGCTTATCCGATACATTTGATCAAATTCTGTAGTAAGGATGCTTTCTAAATTTATTAGTTGCCTTGTTATATTGTGTGACTTACCCTTTTGGTTTTTATTAGTTGCCTTGTTATATTGGGTGAGTTACCTTTTTGGTTTTAGGGTTAGTGATACGACTAGTTCTTCGGTATTACTGATATAGACTAACTGTGTGGGAATATTTACTCCAGAAATGGCACTGTTTCATCTTATGTTTGTACTTCTCATTGTTATTCTGTTCTTTGGTCAAATTACTTGAGCTTCTGTTTGATTTTGTTTGTCAACAGACCTTATTTACAGCGCAGCCCTTACCCAACACCGGCGCATCATCACCAACATCCCCCACAACACGTAGACTCAATAGAATTCTTCCAAAGATTGTCCACGGAGACGCTTTTCTTTATTTTTTATTACCAAGAGGTGAGCTTGTGAATGTCAACAGCGTTACACGGGTGCAAGTGGTTTCGTTACTGTGACACTCGAGGGTAACAATCTTTAGCTGATACGTTGGGCTACTCTCGTCGGCTTTTTGCGGGATGTGTATTAATATTTTTGAACGACTTACCGCGGTAATCACGCCCGAAAGTTACGGGTTTTAACGTTTTTCTATTCTAAAATTGTACAAGAAATTGTGTTGAATTGGTGATGAGAATTTGTTGATGGAATTCCAGGGAACGAGAGCACAGTACTTAGCGGCAAAGGCTTTGAAGAAGCAGTCGTGGAGATTCCACACCAAGTACATGATGTGGTTTCAGAGACACGAAGAACCCAAGGCTATCACGGATGAATACGAACAAGTAAGTACACGTAATCAGCGGCCTTTTATTCCAGTTAAGTAAAGTAAACAAACAACAGAAAGGCACGGTTGCTGGTTAGTCCATGGACTTAGTCCCAGGCCCCTGATATGCGGAGATCTAGCTAACATCGGAATCTACCATCAGATGATTATTGCGCCGTAAGTTCCAAAAGAGCGTGGTAAAATAACGAAAAGCTAGTGAGTATTCAGAGTAAACCTGAGTCATCGGCTTCAAGCGCGGGAAACTGTGAGAGATTTCTCAGTTTTAAGAGGTTTGCGTCGGGTTTTTAGACCACTCACGGCATACACCGAATCGAAATATCGCGTCCAATTTGAATTGCCATTGTTCTGGACTTACTTGCCTCTCACACATGTGATAATCCTTTTGTGTTTTCCACATGAAGACGAGGCTAGTAAGTCAAAAAGAATGGTAATTCAAATTGGACACCATATTTTGATTCGGTGAATAGAAAGAGCAAAACAAATTCATTTCCAGATCACTTCCGACACTCCAACGGAAAAGTTGCACTTGCTTAGAATGGCATCTTGGGAATGACTACAGACGCATCGTAGTGTTGTATATATGTTGTCATTCGATATTAATTTTTTCTTACAGGGCACCTACATCTATTTCGACTACGAAAAATGGGGTCAAAGGAAAAAAGAAGGCTTTACTTTTGAGTATAGATATTTGGAAGACAAGGAACTCCCCTAGAAGTACTTAGAAACGGTCAATAACCAGGCATGATCTAAATCGCGGGACACTAACAAAGTTCACCCGAGAGCACGAGCAACAAAGGATCCATGAAGAGCACGTGGCATATGGGCCTAGTGCTAGCAAACAGAACGCGGAAATGAGAGAAATCAAAACGTACATTTTGTATGACGCGCTTGACTCGTGCAATTTTTTTAACGGCTGTGTCTACGTTGGGTTAGTTTGAAGGGATTGATGCAGCTGATCTTGACAGCTTCGTACGACCTCGTCTGTTTTATGAACACTGGCTTGTTTATAATTGTAAATATGAATGCTAGCTCTAACAATTCCGTTCATTAAAAAATTGAAGCATACTTGAGTTTGTTGCTTTTTGTGAATCGCAAAGCTTCCTTGATTCGCGCCCAGCTGTCGTCATAGTGGGCGACACACGAGAGAGCTCGTTTGAAACTTGTTGAGCATTAGCTGTTCGTTGGATAAGCTGGAATTGTTCCTTCGGCAGAAGACTCGGTGGAAATCGAACTTTTAATGCTGCTGGACAAAATTGAACAAAGTGATGAAAAGAACCCTGACCGTTAGCAATCTACCATTGCTCTTTGCTTCTGAATTTTTAAAGCGTGTTGTTCGCTTTCTAGCCTTCCTGCCACGCCTTCGTGTTTCTCAGCAAGATACAGTCTCGGTCTTAAGGAGGGAGTTTCTGTGTACGAGCTCATTACGGCGAGAGCTCGCCTTCGTTCAAACAAGAGTATAGCTACTTCCCTCAAAAAGATGACAATCATGGAGTCAGGTTACGACCTTCCCCTACTTCAGTTTGTTAAGTTTCTCTGGTAATTTTCTGGAGCTGAGTCATGCCCAAGAACGGAAAGCAGGAACTCGCTAAAAGCTAACCACAGGGTAATGAAGTCTATCAAATGAGGCAAGATTGGGACTAAATTATCACAAAGCGACTTGTTCGCAGGTAAAAATTGCTTTTAAAAGGGAGCACCTTAGACGTTGAACTAATATAAACCTGAGGCTGTTTCGATATCCGATCATTTAGTGACCGTTTACCTACCATGTGTGGAGGAGCTATGCCCTCGCGATATTATCAATTTTTAGGTTCCTTATAATCGCTACTTTTATCTCATTTCGACCGAGGGTGGAGAAGGTTGTACCAAAGCTGACCCAAAATGTTCCGAAAGACCACGCGGCCGTTAGGATTATGACAGGTCTAACACTTCCTTTTGCGCTATGCAGGACTGACTCAGAGGACAGTTCACGACTTTTTATCAGGGTAAAGGAATAAGTGTGAGAGCAATACACGAGGAGCTCCAGAGTGAATGAAGGCAGAAGTAAAGGATACAGATTAGGACTCGCCCACACCCCCATCCAAGAATACAATAACGCCAAACAACTGCTGTTTTAAAAAATTCTTTTCCTTCCTTGATTTATTTACAAAACCTTCGTGCAACTCATACGTCTTAGTACCGATACTTTACATAAATAAATGTCTATCAAAAAAAAAAAAACCTGTTACTGAACGGAAATACACTTCTACAGAGAATTCTAAACTCTGACTATTTCTTTGTTTTCTAGGCAACGCTTGGCACCCTCCGCTATAGCAAAGGTTTTTCTTTTTTTTCCTTAACTTCTTAAGTCAACGGAAACCGCAGTCTCTAATATGAACAGAATGATGACATAGTCCGAAATTAATGTTCAATCCAGTTATTTCTTTGTGGCCTTCTTCTTGGGTGACTTCTTCGTCGGGGTCTTTGCTTTCTTAGTAGCTTTCTTCGCTGGAGATTTCTTCGCGGCTGGTTTCTTTGCAGGTTTTTTAGCGGCCGGTTTTTTCGCTGCCGGTTTTTTTGCAGGAGCCTTCTTTTTGGCAGCAGCCTTCTTCTTAGCTGGAGTTTTCTTGGCTGAAGGCTTCTTTGCTGCGGGCTTCTTTTTCGGTTTAGCCGCCGGTTTTTTGGCTGCGGGCTTCTTCTTGGGCTTGGGTTTTGGCTTCGCCTCCGCGGCTTTGTTGACCTTGAAAGAACCAGATGCTCCGACTCCTTTGGCCTGAATAAGCTTGCCAGCCACCACAAGTCTCTTTAGATTGAGTTTCACTTGCACGCCAACATTATCTCCCACTTTGTAATGTTCCGAGATATACTTCGTGATCTTCTGGCGCGAGGATCCCGTTCGCTCTTTCAACTCCTTAATTGCAGTTACAATCATTTCTTCGTACTTCGGGTGCTCGGCTGGCTTTTTCGGTGCCTTTTTCTTGGGTGTCTTCGTTGCTGCCGCCGGTGCATCGCCCATGATGACTGATTATATTAATTTGGCAACGAGGTTCCACGGAATAAATCGAACGCAAGACAATCAAACTCACGAACTTTCAACTCGGAGTCGCTTGGGGAGAAGTGACGCAGCTACGAACGCGCATCTTATTCATACATCGGGTGCGGACCACTGAGGAAACAAACACGAACTGTTGCCATTTCAGACCGCCATTGGGCTAGTTGTGCTTCTTGTCTTAATGTTTCGCCGTGTATTGGATAATCTTTGCGAGCGATTTCCAAAATAATGGTCGCTAACGAAAGTTACTTAGTGCGAAATCCTAGAAATGGTAAGTTTCGATAAATTTATCGAACCCCTTTTTTTCAGTTTAACTTTTAACGCGAAACTCCATTTTAGTTTAGTTTGACATTTTGCAAAGAAACTCTTGCAGCTCCTGCAATATGCAAGAAGTTTTTATTTTTTAGTTAGTTTACAAAAGTTAAACCATCTATCTTTGCATTTAACTTACATTGGGTGCCGGGGAAGACGTGAAAGTGAGTTAAAAACTTTGTTAAATGCAAGCAACAAACACATCTCGACAAGTGGCTGCGAGCTGTCGTAATTGCTTTCCTCGTAAACATTTTCTCTAAAATCCCAATATTTCTCGTTTTTGAGAGTTCTTTGGGCTAGATTCGAGTTTGATAGTCAGAAGTACTCATTTGCGATAGATTTTAGTGGTTAGCTGGTTATTTTAGGCCTCAAAAGTTCTTTAGAATGTAGTATTTCGTTGAATGCGTCGGAGCGATTTGTCTTGTTTGATCCGTAAAATCTATTCAAGTTGGCAACTTTCAATAATTTTGACAATAATTCGGCCTAAAATTATCCCAGGGTAAGTTTTATTTTCCTTGTATGACTTTATTCCAATCCTGTGTGTGTAAGAGGTAAATTTTCGTTTCGTAAAGAGGCAAATTCAGCGTGAACTAAGAGTATACCAACAGAAACAAATTTGTGTCTAGTTGTTCTTCGAGCTGCTTGATTGTCTTCCTTCTTCTTTACCTTTGAATTACAATCGCAAATATTTCACTTGAGAATGGATTCATGAAGCTAATTATCACGGAAAAATTTGCGAATCACTTTCCTCTAGAAAGGGAAGATTTAATTTCTGGATTTCGTGCCAGTTACAGGGAAATTGTAAAGAATCTCACGAGTCACGTTCCAAACCACCGCCGTACCGCCATCTTGTCCATTACCGCTATCGTTACGATGCGAAGATCGCTGTCTTTTTCTACACTTCAGAGCTCGTTTGTTTGACATGCTTCAATTTTATTTTACAAGGGGATTTTATTCTTGTTTTCCATCAGCAATATCTGTCAATTATGTGGCTAATTTTGCCATTTCAGTGGCTCAACGTATATTCGAAGACAACGCGCCTTCGATGAACACAATATCTACTTTCAAAGGGTCAGTCAGAGACTACAGAAGAAATTCATTTGGGATAGTATGGCTGCTTTTCATTTAATTTTTTTACTGTTAAATTGAAAGTAAGAATTTTTTATTCTTATAGTAGAAGTAGAATGCATTTCGAGCGATAATGTACCAGATTTTGTCGAAGGTTTTACGTGTATCATGCTAGCGTCGGGTCATTTAGTAGCGCTAAAACGTTCCGAGGCGAGTATTGGTGAATAGAAATTTAGTTTTCGTTCCGCATTTGCTTCTCCTAAGGACGCCGTAAGCCTGCCTTTTCAATAAAGGCCTGTGAAAACGTGTCGTAAGAAATATTAGGTAAATATTCAGCGATCAGAAATACTGTAGAATATTTTTTAACATTTTAATTCTTATCGTCGACACACCCTGCGAGCGCTTAAGTCGGTTTCCTTACGGAACAATTGTTTACGTGTTCCTACACAGTTCAGTAGCACAGTTTATACGGTTTACCCTTCCCTTTACGAAGCTTATGTTTTCAAAAAATAACAAGCTGCTCTTTCTTAAAATTCAAATATTTTGCGCAGTGTTATATTATGGAAGTTGTTCGATTTTGAATGTTTGAATTTTCATCTTTCGAATTGCCAACCGTAAACTAGACGTGTTTTGCATATGTAATGACGTAGTGTTACTTCCATAATTTTTGGGAATTCTTAATGTTTCTCCGTCCCTTTTATTAAAATCCGTGGATATAATTTTTTTTAGAGATTCAAATTTTTCTTCAACAAGTGGAAGCATTTCTGTTTTGGCAAAATGTGTTTGTGTGCAAGATGTTACACAAACTATTCATGTCTAGCTCGAGTGAATAAATAATGATTTTCAGATAATCAAATGAGCCCTCATCTTCAACATGGATATAATTTATTAGTCATAACTCCTGCATTGCTTTTTTTTCTGTCTACCATTTGAAAAAAACAAAGGAAATGTTTTGTTGGAATTCTCAGAATATTTAATAGATTTGTGCTGAAAGGAAAATTGACTGTTTTTTCTATTTTATATTTAACAATTATTCCACGAGCACGCGTTGGATATGTGATGATAGATAGCCAACGAGGCACGTAGCGCCGAGTTGGCTATAATCATCTAATATCCAACAAGCACGAGTGGAATAATTTCTTTATTAAAAACGTTGAATTAAATTATTAAATTTATAGCTCCCTTTTAATTTTAAGCTGACACGTATGCTTACCATATTTGTAGATTATGGTATATTGGCTGATATACCATAATGGCTAAGCCAATAAAAAGTCTTGAATTGCATTATCCAATGATCTAGTTTTGAATAAATTGTTATTATCTCCATCAAGGGAGGTATTTATGAGAGTTGCTGCTCTGAGTTTTTGCTTTATCCCCAAAAGTAAAAGTCATGCAGAGGATGTGATAAAAGGGAGTGTTCTTTAGTTTTTATCCTTTAGATAATTTATAAAAATTATATACTGAATTTTTCTTCTTGATAGTTAGATCTGTCATTGCGACAACAAGATCTTCGAATGGGGCAATTTTAACCAAATGACTTAATCCAAGCTTAAACCTAAATTTGTTCATTTTTCTTTTTTTATTTTTTTATCAAATAGAATGAAACTGTCAAAAGTAAAACATTTAGATGGATTAAAGAATTAGAGTTTGTGTTACTGAATTTCCTAGTTTTCTGGAGGTGTCTAGAGTGTAACTGAACATGTAGAGACAATCGTGGTTCTGGAACAAGCCTATGAGGCTCCCTTTGTATCTGTGGGGATTTTACTCCCATGGGTAAACTTCTAGTTACTATTAATTTTTAATTAGTACAATATCATGCCGAGGAGTGACAAGAATAAACAAATATATAAATAAATATGTATTTAATTAGACAAGATGAAAAGGTTAATGCAAACAATGAACTCCGCAAAGAACAGTGGGATAAACTTCTAACTGGTCTGACTCTAGATTTAATGACTTTTCAGCTGTTCGGCCTTCATAACAAAAAAATTGCTGTTTATAAAAATTGCTATATATATGGTAAGTCTGCATTTTGATTTTACTGTGTTACAGTGCTAATTAACAATTATTTGCCGAAGGCGAGGTGAATATCGTCGAATAATCCCCGAGACGAAGTTGAGGGGATTATTTGACAATATTTACCAAACCTGAGGTGGATAATTGTTTTAGTATAATTTCAGAGCTGAACAATAGAGAAATTTCTAAAATCATAACATTTTAGTAACATTTATTAACATTTTAGTTGAACATTATATATAAACAGCGTGGAGCGGTCTATATAGCGTCATATAAGGAACTGCTCGACCAATCAGATTGCTGGAAACTCTTTTGCACAGCTCTGAAATTATACTAATACATAATAGTAGAGCACAATATATGTCGAGTTAGAAAAACACAAAGACTACGCTTTCATCCCTACAAGCTTTTTTCGTGATTGCTCACTCATCAGGGGATTTTATCAAATAAAATCGTTCAGGTGAGTGTAGTCCTGAGAAGGACTGTTGTCGGTGGTGATGACTGATGTTTCAACAACCTATGCAGAAGTCATCATCATAGTTAAGTGAACAGTTCTTGTCAGGGGAATGTTCTTAGTCCAGTTTGTGTAAAATGATTGGTCAGTTTTGCCTGTTTTTGGTCATGTAAAATGATTGGTCAGTTTTGCTTGTTGTTTTTGCCTGTTTTTGGTCGTGTAAAATGATTGGTCAGTTTTTTTTTTTTTTTTAAACATTCTGATAACCTCTTCCTTGCTGCTGTGCAGAGCTTCAAGTTTGCAATAAGCCTCCTTCCCTTAGTCAGATTTTTAGCACATTTAAAGAAAATTTCAGAATGGCAAGGTAGCTCTTTGCAATCAAAACTTAGTCAGTTAAATAATTTAACAGATAATTTCTTGTGATATTGATAATTTAATGATAATTTTGGTCTATTAGCAAACCACTAATGTTTGGTGGATGAATTGTGATTTCTCGAGTTACATTCATTAAATCTTTAAACCAGAGTAGTACCAAACCGTGTTTGATTGTCCACCTGGTTGCTGTGTGAACTTTAATATGCACCATGACATTGTTTGTTTTCTTTGCAAAAGTTACAATTTTTTTTGTATATTGATGTTAATCATAAACAAATGTTAAATGATCTTAATTCATATTATCTGTTTATAAGTTATTTACAAAGAGTTACAATAACTTGGTAGATTGATTATTGACAAATTTAGTAGATAGATATGTATATTATTGGAAAAAAATAGGTGTATTTAAATTGAGACAAGTTTGTCTTAGCACAATAAAAAATGCCATCAGCATTAAAGGTGTTAAAACTGGATGTTTTCGTTGACTGCAGGGTTTTCAATTAGAAATAGCAGGAGAACAGGTCATAATAACAGAAATGTAGTACTGTACTCTTTTGGTCTGAATAAAAACAAGCCCCAGACTATTAACATTTAGCCAGAAAATTATTGTGTAGTTTTTGAAGAATCTCTTGATTTTCAATACTCATGGTGAGAGTGAAGTGTTTTGCCTAAGGATGTAACACAATTATGCAACCAGGTCTTGTTTGCTGGATAATGTATGGATATTATAGGGAGAAGTTACATGTTAATCAAATTTGATTATTCGAACTTCATATATTGCACTACAATTTAAGGAACAGCGACCACAATCTCACTCAACCATCCTACAATAATTA